TGACTTGGCAGAAGGGCGTGAAAGAGATCACGAAGAGTTTGGGTGTTGTTGGTGTTGTACGGCTTCCAGGATGGAGTCCCCGTTACTCCACCTGTGCTTGGCTGCGAGAAGTGTCGGCTAATCGATGTCAGTGGTGTTTGCGCTGTCATTTTCTTTCCAGATTATCTGGTTGAGCGCTTGGAGGTGTGGGCATCAAAAAACGCTTGACCTAGGCCAGCACTATATCCTTTCCCTCATCCACTCTTTTTCTCTTCTTTTCACTCTGGGCTTTAAATATAATTGGACGAAATTCATGGTTGTCCGGCAGTGAAACATCAGTGGCAACACTGATGTCGCTGTCTTTGATGATGATGATGATGATACAGTGTGAGCTATTTTTAAATGTCCTTGTTCTTGAATAGGGATGACATAAATAGAATGGAAAGTCATAACAAAATCATGAAAGACGAAGCGTTTAAAACGCAACAGTCCATTCAGATTGTACCTCACAGGGTTAAATTCCCCTTAATACTATGCTGCTGGTTCATTTCGGCTGTAACGCTAACATCAAGTTTTGTTTCACCCCAACATGCCCATCGTGTAGCTCTGAGGGAAAACAGCAGAGAGCCTCGAGTGGGGGAGACCGATGACAGCGATCAGGTCACCTACAAACTTGTCATGACGGCTACTGAAACCCTTCTTCGAGAGTGTGGGAGCTTCTACGAAGCGCAGAAAACGGGGCAAGTGGAGGAGCACCGAACACAATACAAGCCGCGCAACACTCAAGGAATTTCTTGTGGAGAGGAACCCAGTCAAGGCACGAAAGCCTGATTGGGAACTGCGCCTCATCGATCTCTGTAAATGTGAACCACCAAACAACTAATATACCCTCTGAAAACTCCGGACCAAGTCGAAGAAGTAACTCTGCTGTGGAAGCATTCCTTCCCCTATCCAACGCGGTTTTATTTTTAACAGAAGTGCATTTTTTGTAATTACTGCAAGATGACACAAACCGACTACCTCACGAATCACCCATATTCATCTGTTGGGTAGCAATATGATTGTATAAACTATTGGGATTATCTTTTGAATATGAATGCTTTAAAGTCCCATTGAATAAATAGTCAGTTAACTTCTTCTCGCATAGAAATAATCACAGTGGTATTTGTTGGATAATGGTAGTAGTGAGGAAGTAGTAAACGGTCGAACTCAAACCTTTTGAGTTCGACCGAACCAAGTTGCTCGTCCCACGAACGAGCAAGTTGGTTCGTGAAAGCCTTGTCTTTGTGGCAAACGACCGAAAGCAGAGCGCCCACACACATTATTTTCGAGTAACGCGTCATCACTGTCTGGGCTTGGTCAGCCTGACAGTATCTTAGCTCATTACGGGAGACACGACAGTTGATTGCAACAGCCGAAAGATTGGTTTTGCTAACAACCTTGACCTGCCGGTTTTTATCTACCGCTGTTTCACTCCTGCCATGCTATGAACGCGTTTTTGCCAAATATCTGGAGACATTGATGTCTTCGGATCAGAAGTAACAGAAAGCTTCAGTCAGAGTTGTTTCTGACACCACAAATGAAACTAAGGGTGGGCCATAAACAGAACCTTCCGAAGATGGATAACTCTTTATGGGTTCACAATAAGCATATCCCGATACATTGCCATGAAATTTCTTAAATCTGGCTAAAGGTTCGGCTGTAACATCATTACGGTAGCTTGCTGCACGCCACCCGAAGGAAATACGAGGGCTGAGATACTGCCAGGTTACCCAGGCCTGGACAGGAGCAGTCGAGATGGGGAGGTCGGGTTCGAACCCCGGGCCTTTCGGTTAGCAAGTTCGAGCCTTAACCATGGAACCAACTCGAGCTCATCTGCTGAGGTTAAGCCTGATTACTTATGGGCCTACAACTTAGTTTCTCAATAATTGGTCAAACACACTTCAAGAAAAAACTTGAACTAGTTCGTTTGTCGCAAACTATAGTGAGCACTTGCCTTGGAGAAAACAACGCCATTTCGAATAACATGAGTCGCGAGGTACCGTCCAACGTATTAGTGGTTTTCAAGGTGTTCGAAGACTGGGTAGGTAAGTCGAATATCCAAAGACAGGGAGATATTGCTAGTAGGTTGACAGCATCAACTAACTGACTTGGAGGCTACTGTCAGTGATGTGGACGGTATTTTGAGTAGATGACCGGAACCGTCCAAAGTCTAGCAAGTGCACACGCCAACGAATCAGCTCACGTCGTCACATCACAATCGCTCCCATTACCGGGATTTACTGACTGTGCATCGGTACCGCATACGTAAACAGCTGGTCCTTGTGAGAGGCAGCTCTTCACTGTCTTCCTGGATATCGCAGCCGGCCTGACCAGGCTTCCCGCCGAATGGCCCCAAAATGGCAACAGAGGAAAATATAAGTAAATACGCGTGGATGTGAACAGACACTTGATTTTGAGATTATAAAATGATGCGACGGCTTGTGAACTGTGATGGTGGTGAAGCACTGGGGGACTCCGAACTAGATCCCCTATTGTACAACGCACAACAGAACCACGAAGTTTCTGTACACTGAACTTTTAACTTCTGAAATGCCCATTTCGGAATGCTGCCAGTTCGCCGAATAATAGACAGTGAAGGTTTATCTTCTACAAGCTTATATGAGACACTCACTCGGAGAAAACCGACAAATTATGCGGTGATTTTGCGTTTCCACCGCTGGTCGATAGAAAACGATCATTTTGTGTAGCTGCACCAATTGTAGGGGTCGACACTTTTCAGTGATGCAAGGATGTGGAAGTACTTCTGGTACCAAAAGACAGGATATAGACTTCGATTCGGAAATGTCCTTAGTTGTAGGCTACTGGAAAAAGCAGACCACACGCCTCGTCTGACCTCAGCGTCAGCTGCTTGCTAAATCCTTAACTGCAACCCAGCGAGTTAGAACTGGGAACGCCGAAATGTAGCCACGACTGATCATTACCGTAAACAACTACAAAAGATGAGAACATCAGTGTTTCAATGCCGTGCACCCACATCAGTTTGTTTAAATTAATTCTTATGATGTAAAATAAAGTGGACAGGCAGGAAGACCTGGACTCCCACAGGCAAGAGAGGTGCCAATTTAAATAATCTGGATGGAGAATGACAATGTAAACACCACTGGCATCGATTAACTGGTATATCGTTCAGTATCTCTAGCCGAGCACAAGTCACGCGGACCCCATCTTGGAAAGCAAAATATACTCAAACCTAAAACTTCATTTCCTCTTTCGATATCAAAATCTGTCCACCTGTAGGTTTTTGCTACTTCTAATCAGGCGGTCTTGAGAAATCGGTGATCAAGGACCAACAGATGCCTCATATTTTCGCTCGCAGCCGTACAACAGTACAGCACTGTAGCCTGACACACGTTCCGGTTACGGCCTAGTGATAAACCTTCCTGATGTCACCATTGGAGCAAATTGATGGACACAATTCTAGCCTCTTTTGTTAACTAAACATAGGCAATTAGGTGAAGAGTACCTAGCCACTGACGATGTCTCCACCACTGAAGACGAAAATGATGCAACCAGACTGCCAAGCTCGGCGAACAGACCAACAGCCAAATACAACCAGATTACGCGCCCGGGCTATACCAACATTTCGAGGCATTATCTGGCCTTTGAAATTTGTGCGTTCGATTCGCCCGTAACACTGATATCAGAACTAATGCAACTTCCGTTCCGCAACTTCCATTGTCACTTCTCGAATACTTATAGGCATGCTCAAACACTGCATCTCCCACAGCATGACTTTACACTACTGGCGCAAAGCACATTCTGAAAAACTGGATGAATTGGCCCAGCATTTGTATTAACTTTTATAGAAAAAAAGATAAACAGTCCGCCCCAGACACTTCGAAACGAAGGACGTTCGACCAAGAAAGTACCATTTACCCGATTCGGACCACGAGCAACATCCAAACAGAAGATCACGACCACACGCAAAAAATGTGCCAAGAGGGACGTATTGTACAAAAAATGAAAGAAGTCGCGAGGTAGGTACTGAAAAAGGGATTAGGAGAGGCCAAAAGAATAGAATCGAGTGGCTGAAAGACTTCCTAGAGAGCGATGCACATGGAGGAATGAGGAGGAATCCATGGATCAATGGAGCGTTCGCCATATAATCCACATAAGAAAAAGTGTGGCAAATGCCAGCACCCAAAAGAGGACTTTGTCTTGATGAGTCCGACGTTCGATGATTCGCATGACTGTGTTGGAGAGGCCCAACGTGTTGAAGAGCTCCAAAAGACGACGTTTGGCAGTCTTCAAGGTCAAACTAATGAGACAGAAAAACAAGAAGTAAAGCCAGAAGGGACGGGTTATGGATATCTGATGACAAAGAAAATTACATTTAAATATATAACTTGCACCGCTCGAAGTTCAAACCGTCAAGTGTTCAGTAGCTTACCCCTGTTCTTTCAACGCAGCCAGGCTCGCTGAACCAGAGGCGAGCATATCATCCAAACGCCGACCGACAGCCGAAAGACGGGAATGGTGTTCCATGTCCGCATCCAGCTTCACAACTGTAGAACCATTGCTATTTCGCCGAGCAGAATTTGTAGTGAAATCATACGCCAACAAATCTTCACGTTCACGTAACTGCCGCTCCTTCATGGTCCTAGACGATGAGGAATAAGATTGTACTCAAACAGCTTGACTCATACTACTCAAGAGTAGTTAAGAAAGATTCAAAAAATAGTTCAACGTGCCTTTTACGTTCGGCTGCCTGTAGGTTCGCTTGGTACTGTTTGCATTCATAACGCATTTGGTCTAGTGATAATCGCGCTTGAGATCGACGAGAAATCGGGTCGACTGTGTGTAGCAGGTTCGATAACCGATCACAATTGGACGAAATCTAAGAAGGAAAATATCAAAGCAGGATGAAAGAAAGTATAGAAATCATCCCTATGGTCGAAATCAGTTGGACGAAAATTTGCCTGCTATCGAACGGATAGTTTTAAAGATGTTCGTGGAGCCCCCGGAGAGTACAGCTAAGAATAACGTTCCACCGTAGGCGCACTCATACGAGATAACTATGAGACCAGGGGTACCCACAAACGTCTGTAGGTCAGATGAGCAAACGACGTCAAACAAAGCAAAGGAGTGTCTGAGTATCCAAATGAATCAAGACTCACCAAGTTCAAGGTTGCAGATATGTCTTTGATCAGTTTGCCGGTTTCGGACAGGTGGTCGGAGGAGAGCACTCCAAACAAACGATGTTCAAATTCCGAGAAACTATTTGGTAAATTGTGGAGTAAGGCTTTGGTGTGTCGAGACAATTCATCGTAATCCATCAGTCCGAAACCACTACAGAGCAATGGATGAAGAAACACACGGTCAATTACTGTCAGGTTTTGGATATAGCAGCTAGTCAGCTAAAGTTACGAAAAGATGAGTCGAAAGTCATCGTAACTCGCGTGGAATGAAAACCACTTAAAAAACCGTCTCCCAGAATACAACCTGACCTAACTACTCCAAATAACTTCAAGGAGTTGAAATGGCTGTCGCTGATTGTTACTTCCGAATAGCTCCATTGAAAAATACAGTAAAATCGTGAACTGACATTAAGTTAACGACACGTCCAGTGGTCTGTCACCAGTGTTGTTGGCTTGTTTGAATAAGGACGCGTTCCAAGCTCCCCTAACTTAGTATTATGATAAGTGCTTCTAACAGCCTGGACTCAAGATGGATGCCAGAACATAAATCAGCTGTAATCGCCCACTAATATAAGAGAATTTTCAACACCCCAAATGAGTAAGGTCGATCGTAGATAATTCCAAAATTTCCATTTTCCTTAGTTATCCAGAGCTGACATGTTTTGGTCATCAAAAGAATTAGCTGACGTGTCCGTTTGACCTCGACAAGTAGGATATGTCCCGAGTTGCCATGCGAATATCTCCACCCGTACAGATGGGGGGTGATCCGGGTGCATCTGGTGTACGTTGCTGAGGTAAATTTGAAGCCGTTGCATCACAAGGCAAATGTGCGTAGTTCGATGATGCAAAGGGTAAGGATTGCTCTGCTGAGTTCCAGTCACAGCGAAACGCAAGAAATCTGGTGGTTTCTCATGGTATAGGCTACTTACAGTCGGACGTAAAGGGAACTGTCCAGACGAGTCGTACGGATACGATTTCACAAATTCGCGGGACTACCCATGACATCTTAAATAGCTGACAACCGAAGAGAGAGGAAACGGGCCTAGGTTGTAAGAACCTCGCTAAAGCGATACACTGATAGTTCTACACCACATAGTTTCAGAAAGATAAAACACTGGGTAGTGGTGTATGTTTTTTATTTGTTTAATAATCTACAAGGTTTCGAAGAAGAAAGAGGAAATCCATATTGGAACGGGATGGGGTAGGTCCACTGATGGCTTGGTAATCGCGGAAGGAGAGAGGAGGGACAGCCACTTGAGCTCATCGATCCACTTCACCAAAGACAATATCCAAAGTCCCTGTTAAGGAGGGGTGAAGCAATTTGAATATGATGGGGCTGAAGGACCGGAATGACACCAATAAAGAGGGTTGGGTAGGTTTTGTCAGTGCTCGAAGAGCCTTTGAGACCAACCTGTGCAAATGTGTACTTCAGAAGCTTACTTAGGTCCTACCTAATGCTATCAGTCAACTGGTTTTTAGTGCCCACGGTACATATACCGGTTAACTTACATGAGATTGAGAATGAGGACCTCATACATATATGCACGGAAAAACAAGATAACTCGGATAAGTTCAACAATGTGATGGGTCAGCTTAAGTGACTGTGTCGAAAGCTGACCTGTCACCGCCACCGGAATGTTAGAAAGGCGGATCAATAAACTGCAGGCATCCAAGTGAGAAAGGCTGCATCCGCAATACGTAGATACTCGCCAACCGTCTGTGGACATAACTGACGACAGTGCATGTTGGCTAACATGGTGAACAAACAAACCTTTACTTGTTCATATTGTCACCAGTGCTGCGACACACGANAATTTACGCTCTAACCAATGAGCTATCTGGTCCACACACACACACACGTCGACCAATCAGCACATAAAATAATACAAGGTGAAGAGTTTGATAAAAGATAGTGAACGAACGTCTCAGTCGCAGATGAGACCCGTGGGATGATGGAGCAGTAGGGTCCTAAAAAACGGAACTACACTCAATAAATTATCGTCACAGGGTTCCCATAAACGTAATATGGGACACTGAACCACGCACAGGGATCTAGAAAACGAACGTTTGTAAAAGATTCGCCAATATGTACTCATGGTAGGCCAACCGTGCGCTGGCACTAAGTGGTATTTCTGCTAAATATGCCAGTCTATTTTATTGTTAGTTTTTGTGCCAGTTACACGCGCAACAGAGTCATAGTACAAACATGAAGGGCACTTGTAGTCGTTTCCAAAAATGGTCCACAAACAGGTGATCAGTCTGGATTGACAGCTCGCAAAAGCGGAACAGCTGTAAGCAGCCTCAGCCCTGAGGGAGTGAACAGACGAAAAAAAACTGGGCAGTGTAAAAGGCCGAACGCTCGACAATTATCATCCTCCCAATAGCAAACAACCCAGAAGTAAAAATCTCCATCTAGGTGAACCATTTTTAGCCCAAATATAAGTTCCCACGAAAATCTCTTAGGCACTAAATCGGCAGCGAACTTCTTCCCCCTGTAGCGAGTGCTCAGCCTCGGGAAAATTACTGGAGTTGTTACCCGAGGCAAGTAACCGAACATTTGCCAAAACTCATTCGATGATGAGACAGGTCGACATAACCAGTGGACCCGGTCCCACACGGTAAACGAACCTGACGAAGTTCAGCGTGAAGAGGACTGGTGTCTTCACCAATAAATAGCCAATTCAAGTACAATTACCTCCAGTCCGTACGGATCAATCTTAGGCAGCCAGCCACACCCCCTGAAGCATCTATCAGAGAACCGAACATGAGAAAGCTTCAAGACAAGACAGGATGATTGCATGGGAAACAGCAGGAACCTAGATGGGTCACCAACTGGAATTACGGTCCAAGCTGACATAATATGATATCCTAATCGCTAACAAGGAGCACCATCTACTACACTTTTGAAATGCGATAGTAGATTAGTAATCAACCGACTGCCTCAACTTCGCTAACCCAACAATACAAGTGGTGGATCTGTCGAGTAGTGGACTGATTAAGCTCCCTAAGTGTTCCGATTTAAAACGCTCGACTATGGTTATCATCGTAAAACAGCTTAAATTATCGGGGAAAGATGCAAGTAAGAACCACTGATGACTCAAAAGCATTGCTGGTGTGGGACGGCTTCAACGGATTCGCAAAGAAGTAATTAGGGAACGGATTGTGCGTTGGGTACTTCAGTCGCGGAAGACATTCACGATCATCAGATGCAGTGGCTCGACCATGTGCTACGAACACCGAAACACCCTCTATCGGGACTAGTGTTATACCCCTGCATCCTTCAGGATGGTGCGAACCATTAGGTGGACAACGTGTGACTTGGCAGAAGGGTGTAAAAGAGATTACAAAGAGCTTAGGTGTCGTTGGATCGGTCCGCCCTCCAGGATGTGGTCTCCGTAACTTCCCACCGCACATAGCTGGAGACACTGCAAGTAATGAGAGTTTATCGGTTTTAGTGGTGATCATGTTATCAGTATCTTCCCGGATTGTCTAACTGAGCCCTTGGAAGCGTGGACAGCTCACCATGTATGCGAAAGGCGAGCACCAGGTCCACTGAGAGAGTGGACCTCTACTTTTGAGTTTAAGGCTTTGAACATAATAAGATAAACTTTGTGGTTGTGTGGCGGTGACGAATCAACGTCAACACTCTCTCGTATGATGATGAGACTACAGTCAATTAGAGCTTGTTCATTCAACGAGGTAGACTCCGAACAGTGGGTATGTTACAAATGCAGGCGGCTTATTGTCCGAAGCGGAATGAAATCACGTAGATCTGTTCTTTGTCAGTCCATTAGAGGAATGTGCGCAATTTTCTAAGCATATTTGGTAGGTTTGCTCCTTTAAGTGTTGAATTTCAAACGCCACTAGCCAAGAATAGAAACAGTTTGTTTCAAGCCACCATTCAGAAGAACAGATTATCAATTTTTAAAAGTCGGCCATATTCTGCTATCATCGCCGCCTTACAGATATGTGGTTTGGATTTACACTGATTGGTGGTATTTTGGAATGGTACAGATTAGCCTAATATTGATTAAGGACCCCGTGAGAGCTCAGCCACGTCACGGTGAGGTTGGTATTTATGGATTTGTGATTGTATCTAACAAGGAATTTTAGATCAAGAGAACCAACAAGAATTTGAGCGGGACTTTTATAATCTTAAAATGTCTCACTTTTTCTCTCGGCAGAACACTACTTACGAGGTAGCTGAAAACCATTCGACAATCCACTAGCGATCTCACCCTTCATGGACCCCATTAGGTAGACACAGTCCCCGAGCGTCGAACACCAAATCTTACGACACTCAGCTGGGATTCAGTTAAGCCTCTCGCTTTCTGTGGCAGTTAGGCACCGAAAGGGTGCTACAGCCGAACGACTTTACTTAGGATTCGACTCAACCTCCGGTTGATTGTATGTGTCTAGTTAACACTGTTGTTCCCAAAAGACTACGGGAGATGGAGTTAAGGCGTATTCCTGTCTGTCTGCCATTCATATTGCAGTTTCGGAGACCCACGATTTCTGACCAGTCAGTCACCTAAAGCGTACAAATCCTTCCTCCTTATGAAATTCCTAGTGGGGTTGAAACTGAACAGCATGGAAAGATAGTGGGCTGCGGAAACGGCATTAACGACAGTCAGGAATTTCAAAAAGTTCGCGTACAATTTTTCCAGGGTTGGTTTCACAAACAGGTAATCGTAACTCACCGATAACGGCAACGACATCGGCCAGCAGAAATCCGTGGCACAGCTTATCGATAGCAGCCAAGTGAGCGAATCCGGGTGCCTTAATTTTACAACGATAGGGGCGGTTGGTCCCATCAGAAACCAGGTACACTCCAAATTCGCCCTTGGGTGCCTCCACAGCCGTGTAGGTTGCACCTGGTGGAACCTAGGAGAAGGAAAGAAAGAAACATCAAATAAAACGTTTGGCGTGCCTCAACACTTGAACGTAGGAGACTATTGAGGACCATCTTTAGCCGTCGGATATCCCTTAGATTCATAGCCAGTAAGCAGTGGCTGGTGTCAGGAGAAGCGCTGTAGATAGAACGAAAATCACTCTAACCTCAAGAAATCTCCGTCGAAAAAAAGCAGGTCCGTCTTGCTTTTACTGAGAAAGTGGAGCGAGATGTCTCAGTGGTTGGAGCGCGAATTTACTGACCAGAAGGTCCGTGGTTCGAATCCGACCTCTGCCTCTCGACTTTCCCTGTCTAGGCTTGAACAACTTGGCAGTATCCCAGCCCTCGTGTTGCCTTTTGGTGGCATGACAGTTAGGCACCGAAAAGGTGCTACAGCTGCTATTTTTTACCAACAAAGTCACATGTTGCCCCAACCACCACCTAGTTAAAACAGCCCACAAGGGGCGAGATCCGAAAAAACCGAAAAAATTAGGCAAATCTCAACACAACTGTTTACTTAAAACTGCATTCGCCATAACAAGCAATGAAACTGGGGTCTCAATGTGTACCAACGATTTTCGAATTCAGATTACAAGACCTTATTTGATTGAATTAGGCACCAGGGTTGTGCTGATGAGACAAACCGCACGGAAATGAAACTTTACCTTACATCAAAGACAGTCTACGTTTGAATAAAGCCTGATGCGTGTCCTGACCAAACAAAACAGCGTCTGTTGTATACTACTATCATTTATAACGCGAACGGGAGGTGCAAACTCGAGCACCGGAATGACCGAACATGGAGCCTATTGGGCGGATGTATGGCAAGCCGGCTACGGCAGGAAGGTATGCTCTTATTGGTCCTGAAATGGTCCAAAATAGGTCACACTCATCGAAGGCGTCTACACGCAATAATCGGTTATAGCGCACAACGAAAGATCATAGTTATGAGAAAACAGAGGGATGTACATAGAGACGTCGTGGAAAGATTGTTCAAGCGAGGAAATGCAGTTTCGTAGAACTAGAGAGGAAGATCTACCTGAAGTTTACTCAGCCTGGAGACAAACGCAGACAGCTTTTCGTTAGGATAATAGTGGTTATCTATTTATCAGTCCCTGTTTCTCGTAATTGTGCCTAGAACAAGGTTTTCGTAGTCATTTACCATTAACTTCGTTATCAGGCCGAACCTTTAGTTAAACATTATCTCGAAGTAAGAAAGGTTGTGTTCGAGCATAGGAACACTGCAGTAGGATCGGAAAGCCAACCAATGCACGTCTAGAAAGTTACGGAGAGAGTTGCTCCTCCAAAGAGACCTCACTTCCTGCCGAATGGCCCAGGATAGCGTTTCCTGCCAGCCACAGTGTGTGATGTCCCGGGATGTATGATGTTCACAAAACAAACCAAGTCACCCTCGTCATAGTGAAGATGTGTTGTACAACGATAAAAACGAAACAAAATATACGTCACCTACCAGGTAGCCTTCGGAGAACAGTTTGAAGTGATGGATCAACGCTTCCATCGAATCCTTCATCTCTGCACGCTTCGGCGGTGTGATTTTGGCATCGTCTACTTTCACCTCACCCGGAGGCATTTTGTTCAGACACTGTTGCATGATCCGGATTGATTGTCGCATCTCCTCCAAACGAAGCGCGAATCTGTGGAAGGTGAACGGGAGTGAAGAAACAGAATTATTGATGTCTGTGCACATGCTAAGCAGTAAATATGCTCCCATTTGCCCATGTGCTGGCACAAACCGTTTTCCAACAATACTGCATTATAGAAACGAGGAAATTTGAACGACGACGCATCATCCTATCCATGCAAAGCTGTTAAAAGCAACTGACAGACGATGGATGAGAATAGCCGGATTTGAATTCAAGATGGTTCAGTGTCTAAGACGCTAACCTTCTGACCGGAAGATCCGTGGTTCTAACTTGACCCAGGCATCACGACTAGGCATGGACAACTTGCAGTATCCCAGACGTCGTGCTTCCTTCGTGTGGTATGATAGCTAGACACCGGAAGGGTGTTACAGCTTAATGTACAGCTAGATTGACCGACTTTAAAATTAAAGCCCTATATAACAAGCATCGGAGAAATGTTCGGAAGTTGGGAGGAAGTAAAGTATACCTTTCAGCTGCGAAACCCTTCCATTGCATAGCTGCCTTGCAACACACAGCCACACAGCAACACACACACAGCCATGTAGTCCAACCCCAAACCGGAGCAATCGAAATACTAGGGTTGGGTTGGAACCACGGACCTTCCGGCCAACAGTCGCGCGCTCTGACCGCAGAACTATCTCGAGCTGAGTCGAGGAAACCAAAGCTACTGATGAGTTGCATGTCCTGTATTCTGGAAGAAAGCCTACAGTACGGCTGTACGATTTTCATGTACACGAGGTTTCATATGGAGTGTTCCCATCTGTTTCAACTGAAGAAACTCGTAGGATGCGGGAGCGGTTCGAATCTCATCGTTGGCCCCCTGTCCTGAATCATAAGCGTGTAATAATTCAATGTTTTTCATATATTCAATAACCTGAGCAGGTTGAGCTAATATAGATGTACCAGCTCGTTCACTTTATCAACACACAGGTTGAAATCGAGCAGACCGATGGATTCGGAAACCTGCCGCGTCTCCAGCTTTTCAGCGACAAATTAAGATAGTCGGCCGACACCTCGATGTCAGCGAATGACGAGCATACCATGAATTCGGAAACCTGCTGCGTCTCCAGCTTTTCAGCGACAAATTAAGATAGTCGGCCGACACCTCGATGTCAGCGAATGAAATTCAACATAACGCTCAACACCACACGTGTCATTGTGGTGACAGCTTGCAAGACAACAAAAAATGCGTGCAGAAACACTGATACGAAAGCATCATGCGGGAATCTGGCCTAGCTGCTTCGACCAAATCCCCACACGATGTCGGTTACGAGACCCACGGCATACACATACACGACCCACAACTTTAGTATTCCTGGATTTGGAAGGTACATCCTTAAAATTGCGGAGCAAGCAACGATCCGAAAGTCTGAATATAATAAGTCCTTTGTATTTGCAGACTTTTGAGCGTGGGAATACATGCAGAGCTTACAACGGAACGTCCGTTAACAAAGCGCGTCCTTCAGCGGGTGCCCTCTCTCTCTCCAGTCCCATTTGATTTTCTCATCGATGAGGCACTGAGACGAATGCTGGAAGGTCCTCAAAGCTCTCGTGTTCAAATAGGTGGTGATGAAAACCTTGGCGATCTGAAACACGCAGACGATATCGTTCACATTTTCGAAGAGAAGGCGCAGGTGTTTTTGGCTGAGCTGACTGAAACCACTACGTCTTTCGGAATGCGCTTTGCACCCACGGTGTGTAAGGATATGCAGTGACTGAACACTTCACCTACAATACGAAAAGAGGCGCTCGCAGTTGTGGACAGCTCTACGTTTGTTGGAAGATGTATTAGTTGCGACTGTAATGTGACAGATGAGGTCAATGCACGAATCTCCAATGCATGGGTCGAAGTTTGCTGATTTGCGGAAAGGCGGTGCAGCAGCATGGGTCGGCGTTTGCTGATTTGCGGAAAGGCGGTGCAGCACTGGATCTCAAGAGACGGGTGTATCAGGCTACAATACGGACTGTGTTTGTTGTACGGCTGCGAGACGTGGCCTATCCGAGCAACGGAACTGGGACGTCTCCAGGTTTCCGACGAACGTTGTCTCAGAACCATAGCTCGTGTGGGTTGGTGTCGGAGAGGCAACGAGGCGATTGGAAAGTGTTCGGTTGTGCAATGGGGACTTCCATCGTAGAAGTGTCCAGCACTAGAATCTGCGCTGTTTAGGTCATGTATTGCGTGCTCCGAATTATCCGTTGGGAAGTGTGTGCCCGTTTCCTTGCCTAATTCAGAGCAGCGGAAGCAGACAGGTGGCCAATCTTTGACCTACCAGATGGATGAGATTAGGAAAGTCCGGGTGTTGTTGGTGCGATTCACTTTCCTGGACGGGAGCCACTTTATCTCAACTGCGCCTGGTTGGTGACGCTGAAAGATATGGCTGTTAATCGATGCAGGTGGTATTGTTGTTGTCAGTTCCTATCCACATTGCCTGAACGAGTGCATGGAAGTATAGGCACCTCAGAATGGTTGTGGTGGGCTCGAACTAAGCCCTTCCCCATCCATTTTCATTCTTTTCATTAAAATAAGGCTTTCGAATAAATCATAGTTGTACGGTAGCGAAGCATCACTGTTGAACACTTGTGCTGTCGATGGCAATGATGACGACATAAGCACACGGTCCGTGTAATGCCATAAGCTCAATTCGAGTGATGGATAACGGATGTCGAGGAAGTGAGATTATAACGAAGGTCGCAATAAAAAAAATCCAGTTACCCAAGTTCACTAGTGACTTTGGATGAATTTTACGCTCAGCTCGCGCATGGTCTATACGCTTAACAAGAACTATCCTTCCAAGAAAAGATCACTTCAACTGGTAGGTGGTCCCTGCACCTTTAATCATATAGCTTTTTTGATTATCGTTCAGAAACGCAGAACTTATCCATTCGTAATGACTCAGAAGTGGGGGTTGAAGGCCATTGTTGATAATTTAGTGTACGTTTCCGTCACAGACATACCTGGGACACCCACTACAGACGACGCGAAAAATTCCAACACAACGATAAAAGCTAACGACAGTGTCCATGGGCAGCTGTGTTTCCGTTAGCAAAGTGAATAAGCTGTGCGAGATGGATAATTTAGCGGCCCTACTTCCTGAAAGAAAGCATCGCATTAGGGGGGATAGTGACACACGATGAAGCCAGCATTTTATATGAGAGGGACAAGGTGGTTCCGAAAAGTGAAACCTACCGATCGTAACAGTCGCCCCGCAAACCAATGGGCACGTCGAATTCCATGTCCGCATAAGCATCATACGGTTGCGCCTTTCGCAGGTCCCATTTGATCCCACTTCCACGAAGCATCGGACCAGAGAAACCCAAATCTAGGGCATCTTCAGCGCTCACCACGCCCACGTCTTTCGTCCGATTGATCCAAATGGGATTGTTCAGTAGAAGGTCGCACAGCTGATTAAAAAAGCAAGATAAAAAGTCAAAACTGGTAACGTTCTGTAGGCTGGGCACATCAGGCGGGTTGGTACAACGAACCAGCAAAAAAAGAAGACTGCCTTACAGTGGCCACCTAACTAAATACTAATCATGTGGATAAGAATCAGCGTTTAACAGAAGGATACTGACGGCCACCGGGTTGAGCTCTAGAAAGCTCAGCTGTTAAAGCGCGAAATTCCTGACTGGAAAGTCGAACCCAACGCCGGCCTCTCAACCACTCTTGTCTATGCTTGGACAACCTGAGAGCATCTCAGTCCTCGTGTCGGATGATATCGCAGCTATCCACCAAAGTCATGTTACAACCGAAAGACATGGTTGCTACTTCTTAACGCAGTCACCGAAGCCTGGATGAAGCACTCACAGAACTGAGTCTCGTACCTTCTTGTTGTCCTAAATCGACCGAGGAAACAGTTTTAAGCGCAGTAAAAAGAGTAAAGACTGTAAACATTTCAAACAGGAAATAAGCTGGGAAACTATTTTAGAATACAGGAGTTGAGAACGACTTAACAGATTCTGAAAGTCTAGGCAGCTGTGAGAAGAGAGAGGAGAAAACCCCTATAAAGTAATCCGGTAGGGGCCGCAACATTGCTGCATGTCACTTTGGAGATCCCCTATTAAATACTGACATCAATTACAATCATCAGATCATCTTGGCCACTCAACATACGCTGCACTGGAGTAGTGCATCCCTCAACTCCGTAACTAAGAGCCTTCAAACCCCAAATATACATCCTTGTGGTGTATAGCCGCCGTGCCACCCGACTGAGGCACGAGGGCTGAAATACTGCCAATTTTACCAAACCTGGACAGGAGTAGAGGAGATGCCACGCTTGGTTTTTAACTAAATATCGGCCACTGAACCCGTCTGTGCTCAAGATCCTTCACTAACATCCGCCACATTGCTGCATGTCACTTTGGAGATCCCCTATTAAATACTGACATCAATTACAATCATCAGATCATCTTGGCCACTCAACATACGCTGCACTGGAGTAGTGCATCCCTCAACTCCGTAACTAAGAGCCTTCAAACCCCAAATATACATCCTTGTGGTGTATAGCCGCCGTGCCACCCGACTGAGGCACGAGGGCTGAAATACTGCCAATTTTACCAAACCTGGACAGGAGTAGAGGAGATGCCACGCTTGGTTTTTAACTAAATATCGGCCACTGAACCCGTCTGTGCTCAAGATCCTTCACTAACATCCTTGAAGTTAATTTCAGACAGGATTTCCTGTCCAGCGAACTCTTCGGATGAGAAAATTCACTGAAAAACATGCGGATGCCAAATGGTATTTAGAATGAAGCGTCAGGTAGAATCATGGAATAAAACCACTTTACTGCTGACAGTCACGGCCCGGTATCAACGAAAGCTTCGATTGGTTGAACGTTTTAGGTTCTGAATTCAGCCTCTTTACTTTCCCAAAAATCCAATAGCATTCCCGCCTCTGCTGTATGCCAGCTACTGGCGTTGAGCCTAGAAGGCGTTCGCATTTAAAGAATGTTGCAGCTAAGTGTAGTTTTAGGTGGAATAGCACAATAGTTTGACTATCCGAACTAAACAGGATAAATTCCAGAAGAGAGTACTGCAGTAGAACCAGTAAAGAGTACAAATTAAATAGACATCCCGGTTACACATCCCACAAATATAGTTATGGAAGAATCTGAACGGAGAGCTTTAGCCGGATTCCTCTACCCACCTAAGATATTTTGGCAGTACGTAGACGACACTTTCGTCGTCATGAAACGGGACAAGGTTAGTAAGTTTTACAATTATCTGGACGAACTGGGTCCACAGATCAAATTTAGTATGGAGATGGAGTCAACCTCGGGTACACTATCCCTTTTAGACCGCATGACACATAAAGTTGGGGGAAACTAAAGACCACGGTGTACGAGAAGCCAACCGACACTGGGGCAGTTTTGAACTGCCCATACGAAGTCGGTAATCGCAAGTATTGCGTCATCAATATTTAGGCGCGTAAGGGCCCTGTGCACAGAAGAAGCTGATCGGACAGCGGCCCAAACTGAAGTAAAGGGCAAACTTCGGGGTGGTGGATATCCAGCTAGCTTGATTAAGCGTCAATTACGAAGGGTGTTCGTACCAAGGTCTATATAGGACAGACGGCCAGGGAACTACACATCAGAGTCGAAGAGCATAGTAGAAAAATAAACAGGCCACTGAGAAACTCAGATGAATATCAAGCGTTACTGGAAGGCAATTGCGGAACACGCACTAGACACGGGACACAAACTAGACTTAGAAAATGTTGAGGTTTTGAGGAGAGGACTACGGTCAACGTCACAGACTGATCGCCGAGGCGGTAGAAATCGCCAAGCATCCCAGTGTTAACAGAATGGAAAGCGTGGAACTGGCTAGCGTGTGGACAACGGTCTTGGGTCACTCGAGCTGACATGTGTTGGTGTGCGGTCATCAGAAGGAAGAGTGGTCATCATCTGAACTCCACTTGACCTCAAACCCCTCAACCTAAATTGTCGGAGCACTCACAACCCCACAAAGACCAGAGAAAATCTACCAGTGGCACCCGAGGTGAATCATCAAGTGAAGCACCCTGAAGTGGAAGATTAAGGAACGAAAAGCGATCGGAACTAATTTGGAACTCCTCCAACCCATCAATTCAAGATTTTGGCACCCACGCTAGCCAACAAGAGCCGTTAATTGAAACCTAACATTGATCTAGTGTGAAGAGGACTTACTGATTGGTTCCCCGTCTGTCTTATAACCTGGCCAATTTGGTGGCCTGTTCACTTGGCCTGATGAAGCTTTTGCGTCAAAAGCGAAACGTTGCCCAAATAAAAACTACCGATTGTTTACCAAGCTCTTCTGAAAGAGTAACTGGGGTTGTTTTCGAAGCTCAGTCAATCTTTTTGACAAGAAATTCAAAGTGGTTGGTCTTGAAAAGTTTAGTCCTGCATTTCTGACAGCGAACACTTCACTTGCTGAGAGTGCTTTGAATGTGAGTTAATTGGGGTCCCATAATCTATATCAAATTATACAGCTATGGTACCCTTTCGGTGCCTAGCTGCAGTGCCGACGGAAGGATGCACGAAGGCTGGGATACTGGCTAGACAGGAGCAGTCGAGATGCTGAGGCTGAGCTCCAACCACGGACCTTCCCGTCTGTAAGCTGGCACCTTAACCACTGAGCAGCAGTCGAAATGCTGAGGCTGAGCTCCAACAACGGACCTTCCCGTCTGTAAGCTGGCAGCTTAACCACTGAGCTATCTCGAGTCGATTGGGAGTTCTGAGCTTCAAACACGCGGCCCACTGGGTGAATTTAAGTGGTAGTACTTCGACCACCTCCCACATGAGGATGAGGTTGTTTTTTAATGACCCAAACCGCGCTGCCCATGCGCGGCGATCACTGGCAAGGCCCTCGGAGGTATCCATCCAGGACGAATCAGTTCAAATGCCTCGGACAGCGACCACCCACGTGCGGTCAACGGCTGCCAGAGCTGAACAAATGACAGCCTTGGGCTGGTTCCTGTGATGAGCTCAGTCGACAGTGTGGAGATTAAATTGTTTCACACCGTCTTCGACCGGAGTGAGCCACATCCTGTTATCCTCTGAAGCGGCAACTCAAGCCCTGACATGATATAAGACCCGAAGTTTGTTTGTTCTCGAGCAAGGGACATCTAAACCATCATAGACGTCACCGTTGAATGAGACCGAGTAGATGCTGTATGTCACGATAACACCAATGAGCACTTTTCCCAGGTACCGTACCAGCAATCAAAACCTGTCTCTAGCTGTCGAATATCCTATGCTCGTAGGGGTCACTGTCCGAAGGCGCGAATTGGGGCTCGGCGGACTTCCGTGATAATGACTGATAACTTATTTTCAACCAGTGGTTGAATCTCCATGACATTCAGTCACTGAGGTTATTTATTTTTTGTGACCATGATAGCCTAATTCCGCAGAAGGTGAGTCGGGATCCACATGCGCCCGTGGGCTAAAAAGGAAGGCATTGCCACGTATTTTCCGCAAGCAGCTGAGCAAAAAGTGCCAATTAACACTGTCTAAAGCCTTGATGTATTCAAGGAAAACATCAGGGAGAAAGAAGTAGCTGACTTCAAACGGTAAGCAGCAAAATCCAGTTCGACTGTCGGCAAGTAAACTTTGTGAACCTTCAGCTTCTGAAGGACGCAGACTTTCTTTGGTCCTGATATTAGTCTCGCTGACTACCCGCAACCTTCTCAGTAGAGATCGGGAGATAACATCCCGGCATTTTACGAGACATTACAACATGACTGTGACATCTGCGTGATCAGTAAGCGACGCATAATCCAGACATACCCGATTTATCTCCTATATGCAGTCGTCATCGGTAGTCCCAAATGAGCTAAATAGTGGCCTGATCAGAGGTAGATAATATTACTGCCTAGGTACCGAATGGCTACAAAACGAAAACATACCTCATCAATGCGCTGTACGAATTTTTCCAAGAACTGATACATGTCATCCATGAGCCCAAGCGGTAGATCAAGATAGACTCCACCTGGGCGAATGTAGGCGGCGTGCATCCGGGCTCCGGACACGCGCTCATAAAATTCGAACATCTTCTCTCGTTCTTCAAAAAGCCAGAAAATTGGAGTGATTGCACCAACATCCAAAATGTGAGATCCCACGGCCAGACAGTGATTCATTAGTCTGGTTAATTCAGCAAACAAGGCTGAAGTAGTATGGTAACAAGAGAGAGAGAAGCTAGTTAGAAGTGAAAACTAGTGGACGCGGAACTTGAGCTACTAACAAAGAGGTTCGTAGTTCAAGCCCAACTCTGGCTCTGGTAACCTGGCAACCGTAGCTGCAAACCGATGTCGGTGGCAATCGCGCAGTCAGTTTCTATCCTGGCTGGGTTGGAAGTTCGACCATACATCTCAAGCCGCTCCGTATAAATTCGAATTTCTAACACTTTGCTCTCCAGTGATCCTGGTGAAATGGCTCGTGGTATCTACAGTGTGGGAGATGTGTTCAGTTCCAGGGCTGAATGTGCCTCACTGGAGTGGATTCCAACAATCAGTCGTCTTAGTGCAGTTAGGTTCAATCAGGGCCAATGCACCTCGATGTGGTGAATGGCGTTTGTTCGTTGCGCCAGTATACACTCCGATAGCAGCTGTGGTGCTGATAAAAATATATTTTACAGAAATTTATCACATTTACTCCGGCCAGCGAAAAGTACAGATATCGTGATTCTGGCAAATGATATGAATTCTCAGGTTGGCCAACTAATTCCTGATTAAGCTTACCTTGGCGGTCGATTCGGGTTAACGCTCATCACACAGATAATGAAGAACGGCTTCACTTATGTGCGAAACATTATTTCTTTCTAGCCAGCAAAAGCGTTCACACCATGTGACTTTGAGTCCAACAGGAGTAAACAAGCCGTGGACTAAGTTTGATCATGTGGCTCAGTGATTAGAGTGCGAATTTATTGACCAGAATGTCCGTACTTCGAACGCGACTACTGCAAACGGACTTTTCCTGTCTAGAATTGGGCGACTGGCAGTACCCCAGCCCTTGTGCTACCTTCGGGTGGCATGGCAGCTCGGCACCGAAAGGGTGTTATGGTTGAACGATTTCGAATCAATTACTGGTAAAGATATTCTACACAAGGTTGTCGTTCATTTTGGAGAGCACCACTAGACTACGTTTACGATACCGTATGGACACACGTATCTATTCGTTTTTTTTTCTCTGGAACGCGCCGGCTGATGCAAAGGCATTTAGTTCACCACAAGCAAATCGTCTCTGTAGCTCAACGATATCGAGTTGAGTTGGCTGAGAAGCACCCAGCACTCGACGAGAACAACAGCAATTTGGATGACGACTGGAGGAAGGTGGAAGAGGTCATGTTCACAGACTTTGAAGCCGTCTGCCCAAAGTCCACCACATAACTCAATGAACACTCGATCTCATCACGATCAGTAGCTCAGAATTAAACCGGAAAAACTATACCAGCAACAGACATTGCGATAGCACGCGCACCGAATAATGACAAGCTTACGGATTGACAGAAGGCGCTGATGGATCGCAAAATCCATTGAAATGGAGACTTTTGCAACGAGGAACAACCGCACTCTCTTCCACAAAATTTGATAAACTGGTCTGAGCAGAGTGGTAGTCGGTGAAACCATCTCCGAGGATAGAATCTCGATCCGTTCGAGGAAACACCGACTTAAACGACGGGAGGGATACTTTGCAGAACAGTTCGGTTGGCACCATCAACCCACCCTATGGAAGGACTAACTAAATCCGATTGGGACGTGGATATTAGCTAGCCATCACATCGACGGACGATTTCATTGCTTTAGCGAACCAAAGCACCTGGACCAGACGGTTTGCACCTGCACTTCTTAAAAATGGCGAGTCCGTTGTGGAAAACCTAACGATCCTAATCCAAAACATTTGGAATGAGGAAAAATTTCCAACAGAAAGGAGCAACTCGACGGTTATTCCCCTATTCAAAAAAGGGTTCAGCAACATCATGCGAGATATCAGCTTAGTGCTATAGTTTTCAAAGTGTACTCTGGCATTATTCTACGCAGGTTGATCTGTCATTAGGATAGTCGGATACGCACGAATCAAGCCGGGATTGTATCGATTGTATCTTCAACTTGCGGCAACTGTTGGAACCACGCTACTCCTTCCGACAACCAACAACCGTCACATTCCACAGGTTACGCTGGTCAGACCATGCACTTCACATGCAAGAGGACGTTTGCCTCGTAAATACCTCTTCGCCCTGTCCCGTGTCGGATGGAGACGACCCAAAGGTAGTCAGGTTATGACCAGTCAGGTCGGACAAGCTGGTGAATGCAATCTTCCCGGATGGGGACCGCAGGATAAGATAAACCACTGCTTAGTGCTCCTGACAGATATGGCTGTGTCACGCAGCCAATAGTACTCTTGCATCAAAGGCACTGCCTTTCTTTCGATTATAAGACTATTCAAATAAATTAACACGATCGTGGGGAAGTGAAGCATCACTAGACTTTACTGGTGTTGCTGTCATTGATAATAATATACGCTCTTGCATTACTACGGTTGCATAGCAACTGTACATCAGGGAGAGGAGACAACTGGATGACTTGATTTCATTGCAGCTGAGTGTGTAGTGACTCAAGCAACCGCAGAGGGTTGAAAGACTGGGTTAGTATGCATCAGCTTGAGAGTTCGAACAAACAGAAAGAATAGGGACCCGGTTGTGATGCTATTGCAGCGTATACTAATGCGTGACGGTAGCCACCAGTTTACGTGTTGCAAAGCGAGTGTGAACAGATGAACTCGGGACGCAGGGAGACAGATATCTTGTTGAAATCGGTGAGGCTCTCGTTGAACAGGTTATTTTCTACTGATAATCATCGCCTACTAACCAATACAGTACATCTCGACTTTTAAGAAACCCAAGAAACGTAGTACCTCCAGAAGAAAAACAATTTTGGAGCTTTGGATTCCTTAGCCTAGAGAAACACAGTGATCGTCCTTCATTAGTCTTTATAATTCCAATCAAGCGACAGCATATGATCGCAGCATGTCGTCTATCCGTCCTGATGATGATGAAAAACAACCAATCCCGCTTTTGTCGACCACTGTCTTTCTTGTCTCACAATCATGTAGTACACAAAACGAGATGGAAAAGACAAACATCAACTAGATACCAACGGTAGAGGTGTCCCACTGGCACGCGAACTAACCACAAGGCCTGCTGTAAGAATCACGAATGATCATTTAAGCGAATAGGTTATAGGCTCTGTTCCTTCCGTGCTGATAGTCTCAATCCGTTCAGCTGTAACACCTTTCCGGTGCCTAACTGCCATGCTACCCGAAGGAAGCACGAGGGCCAGGTCGCCCAGGCCTAGCAGGGGAAGTCGAGAGGCAGAGGTCCAGTTTTCGCCCAGGCCTAACAGGGGAAGTCGAGAGGCAGAGGTCCAGTTTGAACCCCAGACATTCCGGTCAGCAAACCATTTGAGCCATCTCTCACCTAGAAGTATTTGGGGTCTAGGCTAACCCTAGACCCTCCACCTTATCTTTGCTCTTCTTTTCCCGAAGTCGGAAAAGGTGATCAAGCAAAAGGCAACGAATACGAGGTCAGAACATTAAATGTTGGTACTACTGTAACTCCTAACCTTCTGGATGCAAAACGTATATGCAAAAGTGCATAGCAAACAAAGGAAACCATTGTGTTCCACATCACTTACTACGGATGTATTTTGCTCGTGGAGGAATCTCCACATTGAGCAATTTCTCCACAGCCAACGCATAGCATTGTTCGTTGCACATCATTGACGCATAGTCCAAACGGTCAAAGTAGGGTAGAGCCTGTGGAGGGCACAATATACAATGGGGACAGTAAAAAACCGATCATCATCCGTTGTAAAAACCGCATACTTGCCGCACGGTGGTTCTAACTACCAGTTTCGTTTACCGATGATTTGGGAGGGATAGATAGCTGTGCGTTGGAGGCGGTAGCTGATACAACAGAAGAGCAAATACAGGGCCTTTGATTGGGGAGAGTGGGAGGGGGCTACGCATCGAAGGCAATAGCTTGGATGCACTAGCGCAATTGAAGATGCGACCTGGACATGTCCAACAGTATCTCTAACTATTTGTGTCCCGTCACGGGGTCCCCATCCAGCGAGACAGAAGTAACAACCGCAACTGAGTTTGCTGATAATGGCTTTCATAGTTCGCTGCTAAGTTATGATTTGACCTCCCCTGTCTTGTTCCCACCCTTCACGTGGTTGTGCGAAAAGAGCCTTTCGAGGTCGGTCGACTGGCATACGGAGCAACGTGGCCAAGCTAGTGCAACCTATGGAGCGTGACCAGTGTATCTATTGTGGGTGAACTATTTTAATCGGGTTCATATCACCCAGCAAATCACGCAAGTGTCCTCGAAAAAGTTGTCGGATGAGCGGATGCTCTAGAGGAGTTGTTCTGTATTATGCGGGGAATAAGTGATGATACTGTGGTAGAGATGTAATCAAGGGCAGACGTCTGCGAGCTCGGATCAGCATTCACATAGTGTTAACGGAGCCGTTCTACGGCTCTCACACACTGTATTTACTCTATTTACAAGGAACGAAGAACCAGCCAGTACAATGATGAAAAATATAAACTCACTTGAGTGTAGGTTTTGTATTCAATCAGCTTTTCTGTGCCACGATGCAACAAACCAATGTGAGGATCTAATCGTCCTATGATCTGTGAAAGAAATGGCAGAGTTAAGCACAGTAAATGAGGCGGAAACTAGCAACCGCATTGCGTCATTGTATTATATATGACTCATTGACACGCAAAAACACATCTATCATTTCATACACTGAGTTTTCGTGGTTTTAAGTTAGGCATATTAAAAGTAGTTCCTTCCCCCGGTTCCAGCTACATATCCAGTTCCCTATGTTGAAGACAGCCTATAAGATTCCCTCAGACAACCTCATGGGGGTCCTTTTTGGACGTTCGTTAGGAGGTGATGAAGGCCGGGTGAGATCAGCTCCATTCCGACATGCTGAGGTTTGCGGACAGTCTCATTTATACACGTCACTGCAAAACAATAGTTGGGGCTACATCCATCAAGAGCTCTACGAAAGTTCCACCCATGTGAGTCGGTTCGTGGAATAGATGCACATGGGAGCCACCTATTTCTAATAAATACGAAGTCGCAAGAAAAGGATGTTAGAAGGTTGGGTTCGTTCAGTCATAAGACACCCTTTCAGTGCATATCTGCCATAGCATCCAAAGGTAGCATGGAAGCTGGGATATTTTCAGGTTGCCCATACCTAGACAGGAGGTGTCAGGATGCAGAGGTTGGGTTGGAACCACGGAACTTCCGGTCAGTAACTTTGCGCTTTAATCACTGACTTATCTTGAGCTCGAGTGAACAAATACACCGCCCTGATTGTGGCAACCCAAACACCGATCTTCAGAAAGGTGCTCCTTCAGAATATACGGTAGCCAATGAGTAAGCCTCCTACCGCGCTTTACCTTAGCCATTCTTTTTTTGATCCAATGTGATGAATGATGATGATGATTTTGATCCAATTGGTTGTTTACGAACAAATATAGAAAGGTTGCGGACTTGGAAAATCTTCGTCACTCTGTCTCGTAAGAATGAATTCATTTTTGCAGATGAAACAGAGCAATGTTTTGTGATCCAATGTTTACGAACAAATATAGAAAGGTTGCGGACTTGGAAAATCTTCGTCACTCTGTCTCGTAAGAATGAATTCATTTTTGCAGATGAAACAGAGCAATGTTTTGAGTTCGTATAAAGTCGCCTTCCATGCGCTGCCAGCTACTGCTATAGTCCCTTGGACAACCAACAAAGAAACAGAAACATCGGCAACCGCATGCAGTAATAACACCAATTTAGCGCTCTCGACGGAAACAACGCAGAACACGTTAGTCCTTAGTGAGGTTTGATTCCACTTAGAATTATGAAAAAAACACCAGTATTGAGCACCATGCTACAGTGCCGTACAATCAAATTTCTAACTGATGTAGAAAGAAAATGAGGCAGGCCGAAGAAACTTGTGCTGCTCTGATAAAATCATGCCGAGCCGTCTAACTTCTTCGGATATAACGAGATAATCGGAACAGAAACGAGCAACAGTGGTTGGTAATCTTATCTTTTAACATTGCGACCTTTCTCCTTCAGGACGACCGACAGTGACAATAGTCCGTCTCAGCTTAATCGTTCCTAAGCACTTCTACCCGATTTCACTGCCCTATCTGTGCAGAACTAACTTTCGGCCGACGATGGCTAGGAATTCGCAATCACAACATGGGATGCTGATTACCTCTCTGAGATGATGTCTTGTGTTAAAACGTAACACTTGGGCTGTGGTATTAAGGATTCATTGTGCAAGCTATAATTCTGGGGAGGGTTAAAGAAGACCCACGTTTTATGCGTCCAGGCCACTGATTTGGCACGAAACTTGGAGCGCTCCAATTCATTCATGTTTGTTGGTAGTGTGAGATTTGGGTTTTTTGTGGAGATTTTGTCCTGTGAATGAAGCCAATCTATGGTGGAAAGCCGAGAAGCTAAATCTCTTCATACTACCAACAATCTAAAATTAGCTCAGTGGAAGAATAAACTTCGCCCGACGAGTGGAACTTCCATTTGAGAAGTCGTTGCTCGAGGAGTCAGTCAACACGTGTGACCACGTGATGTGGATCCCGTGACTGAAGGATGAACGGCGCAATATCCTGTACAAGTGCGAGTTAATCATACTGCTGATTAGCTGCCCGTGGCCGAATGGTTAAGTGTTAAACTACCAGCCAGGAGGTAGCGCATTCGAGTTGCATGAGATTCGCATTGCGGATGATTCCCAATGAGGATGAAACAGCTGTACAATATTTCTCGGCTTTTCAGCACAGATTGGCTTCACTTGCAGGACGAAATCATTAACGTTTACTAATTGTATTCCGGAATACAGTGTGCTCGTCCGCGAGTCGGTCGGTAAAAACATGCTTTGTAAGTTCCTTCACATTCCTCCCAGAGCTAACCTATTCATTCATATTACTGAGGTGGTCGCGTTTAACAAAAAGCATATCTAAATTTTACGTTTTTCTTAATGGTCCTGTGATATTATTACGAAATACCATTGGATAGTCATCTTCTATGATGAAAACACAATGAATACACAAATGAAGGTGCGGCGAGAGAGAACCTATGGCTCGGCGAAACCACGAAACCGTTCGGTATTCCTCTACACGAAGATCTGATGATCTTTTTGAGACCGATTTTTATCAAGGATTCGCCTGGTGTAATTGTTCCTTGTTTGATCATTTGACTTTATTATCTATTTCTCTATTTCTTTGTCAAAATGGATCCAGTACGAAAATTTACACGGACTACTTAGTATTGGCCTTCTATTACAATGCTGGTAAACTTCCTTCCACTTTTGCTTATCAGTGCTGCCTTGTTTGCCATCCGCGGTCGTCTACAAGCATTCGTTTCTGAATCCTTTGGGCTTATCAGCGTACCCTTAGTTTCGGCATGCTGGTTCGGACTTTCTGACTCAACACAAATTACCGAAGGCTGCCTATATTCATCGTAAGCAGGCCCATCAGACCTACGGCCGGATACATACTTCACAGTCACTTCTCCACTGTTCAGCGCGAGTTGCCCTATCACTCAACTAGATAAAATATTCTTGAAGTTATCGGAAAGTCTAACTCAATGCCCGAACAAACTGGGGATACAGTGACAATTGAGCGGTTTAGTCCTGAGTGAGATGAACTGGAGCAACACTACAGGTCCAGGCCTACTACAGAGATTCTTTTTACCAAACTTATTGCTTAGTGAAATAAATGACTACACCTTGTCACCATGTCTGTCCCTCCGGTTTGACGTTTGTTTGCCCTTGTGCTTCTACACCCTATCTTTTTGTTTGGGTGGAATAAATGCTAGTCTGCAGCATTCACATGAGGCGATCTCCAATCGAAGGGTATTTTCCAGTTGGTAATTCAGCAATCCCTAAGATCGAATACTGAATGTAGCGGGTCATAGAATAATCCTCTTCTAGGACTATATAGTGAAACCTCGGAATCTAATGCAAAGGTGAAGACGGCTTTGTTTCTTGGAATTCGGTGATGCTTTCAAAGCAGAAAGCTGAGTCGGATCAAATATCGCGGAATCGGAAATTCGCAGCCTGCTTTCATTCATCTGACAGACCGACTGGAAGCCGTCGCCTCAGGCCGTTCAGGACGAACTCAGTTATTGCACATTTCATTCTTCAGGTATTGGGTATTGGGTGATCCTGACACAATACCTCATGGTATATACGGTGTGATAACTACAGTCAGTCCCAAGGGTGAGAGCGCTTTACTGGACTGGATTCAAGTAAACAGTCTTCCATACACTGTACAACTGCCCGCTTCAATTAAGACCAGTACATGTCGGTGCATTGAATTGCGTTTATTTGTCACATCACACCCCCCTATTAGACTACACTTGTGAATCTGAGGACGGGTTCTACCGAGACCCGTTACGAGTGCATCGGTCAGCAACAGGTACGGCAGTTCATATGAACGCCTACGACCGGAAGAAGCACAATTGGGTGTATTTGTAGTTGATGCTCAGCGTTAGGATAATCTGGAGGGAATTCTACAGCTGGGCGCTGAACATAGTCTGTTTCTGGAAAGTACGACCACTGAATATTAATGAGATCAGTAGATTTTGCTGTAACTGGTGACCAAGAGGGCTCACGCAGATCGCTCAAATAGTGAACAACCAAACGACTGAAGAATGGCCGAGAACGCTCGCGAGTCGCGAATGTCCAGGGAAGGGAGAAGGCTTTCGCTGCAGGCGAAAGCTGCACTCTGTTTCAGGTGATTCGATCAGCCGATCAAAAACAGTTGTCAGCGAAACAGTATGTAAAAAAAGACGGGATGGAATTCACTCACAAAAATGTCGTCTTTAGTGATAAGCTAAACACTTCGAAGAGTAGTTCATCCGGCCTTTTTCAACAAAATCTCGGAAGGACTCAGCCGGTGACATGGAACATTGAAACCAGTCCCGCTGTCAACAATATAAATCTAGTGTTGAATATCATCACGCTAAAGCGACAAGGTATCCCGCCAGAATGATCTTCACCCTGCACTGGTCAAAGATAACGAAGCCCTGGCGAGCAGTCTGACGATTTTACCATGCAAGACTTGAAATGGAAACAGAATACCAGTGGAATTAAGTGCCTCTGGTGTGATCTGTCTTCAATAATTCTTCAACATAATTCAGCCGCACGTCGTTTCAGGCATGGATAATAATAACGATAACAATAATAATAAAGTCATCCAACTGTAACACCTCCAAATACCTAGCTGTCATGCCACCCGAAGGAATCCGTGTGGATAGAGAAACCTAGTGGAATCAGCGGGTCCGGAAAGGAAGGTTGGTGAACTTAAGAATGTCCGAAGGATTTTTCATCAGCTACAACATCCTGCGCCTAGCTGCCATGCTGCTCAGAAGCACCAGGGCTGGGATACTTCCAGGTTGTTCAAGCCTAGACAGAGGAAGTCTAGAGGCAGAGGTCGGATCACGGACCTTCGGTCAGTGAATGCGCGCTCTAAACAACGAACCATAACACCCAGTGGTTTTGTAGGACGTAAGAACCTCGATTTTGACCGCTTTGTGAAATAATTTCCCAATATACATCGTCTCTGTCACCTTCAATTGGGTGCATTCTTATACGTCTATGTGACGGAGAGGCTTCAGCTTCCACTACTGATACATTGCAGTCCAAGACGAAAACGACCGTAAAATTTTAAAAGCATGGTTATGAACGAGGAATGTAGAAAATCGCTACCCACAGCCGAATTTCAAATACATTGCAAACGAAAAGACATCATATTGTGAACCAACTAACCTCTCCATCCAGCTCCATGATCAAGCGCAGGACACCATGTGCCGCCGGATGTTGCGGGCCGAAGTTTAGCTGAACGTTCTGAACTTCAACGTGCCAGCGGCTGAATAAATCGGCTGAAACACTGTAACTTAACACATTTCAAGCTACCTGGTAACTTTGGCAATACCTTCTTTCTAGCCTCAGGAGGCTGCACCGAATCCCTAAGCTCGTCCATGAACGCTTTGTCAGGAATCCACTTAGACGAAAACCTCCTAGAGACCTCGTGATTCTTGTTAGAGTATTACTTGGCATAATGCAGGGCAGCACCAGAAGCTGATTTGCGACTGAGAAACGAACCAAAAGAACAGCATCTCATCGCCATCTCCGAAGACTGACCAACGTAGCGTCGAAGTCATGCGCAGCGCACAATCTCAAGGCCGAATGCTCCAGACCAGGTCATATGTTTGATCCCTATCAGGCAAGTGCCATTTTCTACGAAACAGCCAGCTGCGCGCAGGATGCAAAGTTTCGCAATGTATGTACTGCTTCCCTGCACAAGGGATCAGACAAAGCACTGCAATCCTGTGTACTTTGTTGAGGTTTTTTAGAGTTAATCTTCATTAGAGATCTATGGGGCGTGTTCGATTTTGAGGCCACATTTGAATGATTTGGGCCGCGTCCTCGAAGTACACCCAAAATTTCTCTGACACCGTGATTTGAAAAAGAAAAACTTCAACAGAAAGTTCCAACATTTGATAGTAATTTTTCGGGCCCTTAAGTTCTTTCAACGCGGCTGCAATTTTGTTGAAAGTTGTTTAGACCTACTCAAGGCCCACTGTGGGCGCGAGGTTCATATTTTTAATGGCTGCCCTGGCTGAGCACGCTTTGTTGGTGAATGTGGTGGGTGATTTTGCAATCCCATAGTGTTGGTGGAAATAGAGGGTGGCAGATTATTCACCTGTGCTTTTCCTTAACGCAGCAGATAGCACTATTTCAACGTTTTCCAGGTGCAGATCAAGCATCGCGAAAGGCATTTCGTAGTCCGCGGATTCGAGGCCGGGAACCATTCTCGTAGCGGCTCGCTGGACACGCTCAATGAGGGTGACGTCCTTCGTGCATCCTGAATAGACAACTTGATTAGCGTATTCCAGGAGCGGTCTGATACAGGCCTTATAGAGTATTTGGAAGTCCATGCGAGTAATGAGGGAGGTGGTGCTTCGGATCATCCGTAAAATGCCGAATGCCTCTGGGGCCGATTTCTCATGGTGCAGTGAGAAGGACAAGTTTGAGGAGACCCAGATGCCCAAGTCCTTCTTGGCATCTATTCTCATGACATGATGTTTTCCTTTCACACCATGCATAACAAAGGCATTCTGTTAGTCTCCTTCAGGTAACATATGGACGTACACTTCGTCGTTCAGAGGAAAGTGATAATCCAACGACCACTGCTTTGCAGCGTCTACATCCATTTAGAGGGCAGTGACATTGGAACTCCAGGGTTGCAGTTCGTCCGCAAAAGTAGACGTGGGCTTGCGAGAACATCTGGAGGGTCGTAAACGTAGATCAGAAACAGCTGTGATCCCAGTACGGAGCCTTGAGGAACTCCCATTGAGACCGGCGCTGGAGAAGAGTAGGTAGATCCTATGCTCACTCGGAATGATCTCTGTGATAGGAACGCCTTGATCCAGCGAAGGATTTTCCCCTGAAACTCGTAAGATTCGAGTTTGTGGAGCAGCGGGACGCGAATGACGCTATCATATGGTTCCGAGAATTCGAAAAATATGGCATCCGATATGAGTCCTTCGTCCTTGGCTTGGGTTAGGCTGACCATAAACCCGAGCATGTTTGTCACGCAAGAGCGGCTTTGGAGAAATCCGTGTTGAGCTAGAGATATCAGGTTGCTGGAAGTAAGGTGATCTAGAATAGCTCGCTTCAGAAAGTTTTCCACACCTTAAGTGGCATGCCAGTGAGGTTTATAGGCCTGTAGCTGCCAGGCGATAGTTGGTCACCAGTTCTGTGGATTGGCATGACAATCGCTTCCTCAAAGCAGGGAGAAAGCGCCCTTCGTCAAGCGACTGATGAAAAACCAGGTGTAAATTATTTGGGGGTGACGTATCCTTCAGGATCCTCGGATGGACCTCGTCGGGCCCCAACGCGCAGAATGGGTTGATGTTGTGCAAGAGTTGGTGAATATCCTCCACTGTGAAGACCAATCGGTTAGAGGCTGTTCGTAGTTCCGCCTTGACAAGACTGGGTGTGACGAGAACGCTGGGGCTGAGTATAACGCGCACAGTGTTCTCTGTAAACCTCAGATACCACTCTTGGGTCACTCGTCGGTTCTCCGTTCCTGTCCCTAAAGGAGAACGCAGATGGCTTGTTTCTGCGGCGATGTCTCGTGTATCTGAACAAGACGTTTTTGTTATTTCGAGCGATTTCCAGGATGGTGGACTGTTTTCGTGTGTTCTGTTGGCGGATTTCTGATTTACAGCGGCTCCGCATTTTACGAAATGCCAGCTTGTCTCGTGTATCCTCTGTAGTCAACTTTTTGAAAAAAGTTGGAACCTTTTTCCCAGAAGTCGCCGAATCCTTTTCGGCAGCCTGCGGTTCAACTGAGTGCGTGCTGGTATTTTTGGGACGAGCATCGCGTCAGGCCCGTGAACATTGTGGACAATGGTCTGCGCGTCAGAAGTCCCGAAACCGCGTTTCATGTTTGGGATTTCTGGCCCAATAGCAGAAAAAATCAAAGGTCAGCACACAGTGGCCGCTATGTCCCAGTGGAGCGTTAATTATTGCCTGGTCAACGAAGTGTCTTTCGTTGGTGATGACCAAATCCAGGAGGGATGGTAGTTGGTCTGCGCGGTATCTGGTGGGTGCGACGACATGTTGAGTGCAAGCGCTCTGTTGGACGACTACAATCAGCGCCGCTGCAAAAAGTCCGCTTGATTCGACGCGCTGGAGCTCCATCCAGGAGGCCTTTGGAGCGCTGAGGTCACCTACCAGCAGAAGATGAGTGAAGTGGTAGTTGGGATCGTATGAGGAATTGGTCATCTTCACGGGGACTCGAGGGGCTACGGTTGACCACACCGAGAAGGAGAGAATCGGACCCGCGCAGCGTGATTTATACCCACAATGCATCGCAAAATGGTGCAGTAGTGGTGTCAGAGAGGATAATCAGGATTTGTAGGGCCGCACGTAACTACAGAGTGACCCCGCCAGCCCGCCCTCGTTTTGAGTTAGCTCGAAAAACAGAACAACCGTCTATCTAGATCTCCGCGTCCGAGACATCTGGTGTGAGCCAGATCCATCCC